TAAATGACTAAATTTGCCGTAGAAATAGTAGGATTTATTAGGTAACATAATAATTTCAATTTTGACATGTTTTGTTTAATAATTATTTTAATTTTCTTAATTTTTATAATTTGGTTTGTAAAATCAACTAAAATACTTATTGTTAGTAAATTTATTTCTGCTGGGATTTTATTTTTACAAATTCGGGTTCAAATTGTAATTTTAATTATTTTCGGTTACGAAGCAATAGACTAGTGGGATAAATTGTAAATAGCGCTTTAATATTTAGGTAATTTTTCTTTTTTCATTTTCTCCATGATGATGGGTAATAGTAGGTGAACGAGTAAGAAATCTACCAATTGATGCAGAAATGCAAAAAATATTTTTAAATTTTAAAGCTTTCTCCTTTTGAATAGTTCAGTTAAATTGTATTAAGTCAATCCTTCTTAGCTTTTCTGTTTGCTTGGTATTTGTAGTTGGTTTATCATAATAATGAATTTACATACACGTTATCAAACAATAGATACGGTAATATAGAAGATATAATTTTTCTTATGTTTTACTAGAATATTTAATCGCTAGAGCACACATTGTTCATGCAAAAATACAATATTAAAATATTATAATACTTAAGTAATTATCTTCAGGTCAGAATAATGCTGTAATAAACATCACAATCACGGGCTTTATGAGCGAAGAAAAATGGTCCTCATGACGACGAAATTGAAATCTTGACTAAAATTTCTGTATTTTTATGGTTCATTTCTATGTTTGTAGTTTCAATAAGAATTCGACATGAGTTGCTTATGTATAATTAGAATATAATTTTTCAGTATTTTTCATACTTCAACAATTTCTTATTTACAGAACAAAAGAAGGTAGCATTTTCACTTAAGAATACTTATAACAACTTTAATCACATAAAAAAGGTTTTACTTTGTGACAATCACAGATAAAACTATTTTATGTAATTCTTTAATACCAATGACCAAATTAATGACAAAAGATTTTTAAAACTCGAGATATATAGTCATTTATTTAAACTAATGAAATTTTGAATAAAGAAATTCTGAACTGATACTGTCATGATTCAGGTCTTAAGGCCTGTCGTTGGTTAGAGTTGTTTCCTAGCGAAACGTACGAGTGGCAAGCTTTTTGAGAAGTCCTTCCATCTCCACTGTTGGATGTGGACGACGGCCTTTAGACCCGAATCAGGACAACATTAGTTAACCTACTGGCCGCGAAAGCCTTCACGAATTTGAAGGAAATTCTTTTTCCTAAATAGTTTTTATATTCTTTAATTTAAGGAAGAAGTTCAGGAAACAGTAAAATTTTAGATAATTGCCTACTTTAACCACAAGGAAGTAGAATTCCTAAACAATTGTTAAGATCATAAATATGGTATGAAAAAAAAAATGACGTAGGCCAAAGTTAAAGAAACAGTAAAACTAATATTCTGTTTTTACATCCCAAGGGACATCATTCTTGTTAGCTTACCGACCTATTATGTAAAGGCTTTAACGATAGTGAACCTTTTGAATCTGCTATTCAGACATATGTATTTATTAAAATATTATATATGCTGAAATGGAAATTAGACAACAAATCTAACTCCAGAGTTCGGTATGTAGGTATACATCAACACCTAACGTAAGCTATTTGTTTTACGAAAGTATTTAACGTAATAGCTTAGCGGAAAACTCCAGTCGACAATGAAAAAAATGAACACGCCCTACATTTTATAAAATGAAATTCCTTTTTGAACTTGAAAGTTTTTAGGTTTTTTATTTAGTAGCTACCTCTTGTATTTTAAACTTTTTACTCCACACGTATTTATATGGGGACCCTTTTGTAAAATTTTATCAAATAACGCAACCAGAGTTTAACAAAATATAAATTGAAATACTCCGGGAGTATTAATGCTTAATCTAACTGAGGGTTGCCGCATATCGTTTTCAATTAATAAATATGTTAGGTATGAAAATGCGTTCTTGTCTTTCAAAAAATTAGTTTTCAATATTCAATTACTGAACATATAATGAAAAGCAAAATGAGCTTATGGTTGTAAAACCTTTACAAAATGTTAAACTTTCATTTTAATAAAAAAAATATATTTCTACATGTAATATTGCCCGCATGGTTTCGTCAACTTCGTCCATCCCCATCTATTTTATCCAACCTCATTATCTCTGCACCGAACGAATTAAATTTTCCATCTAATTTTTTCAGTGATTTTATTTTAAAATATAAGAATAATTTCGTAAATGCGACAGAAGCACAAAACCAGAAATTTGGGGAAAAGCGGGTATCATCATCATCATCATAAGGTCGTCAGTCCTAAGACTGGTTGGACACGCATCTTCACGCTTTCCTATCCTGCGCTAATCTTCGCATTTCCCTAAAGCTAGAGTAACCCATATCCTTAACTATTTGCGATTTAGATTACTATATAGGTCTACCTCTACCTCTTCCAACTTCCGTTTCTGCCTCTAATATGTCTCTGACTAGACCTTCATGCCTGAGAAGGTGTCTTACTTACCTAACTCGTTCTCTTACTCTTTCTAATACCTCTTCATTTCTAACCTTCTCTATCCACGGTATCCTCATCATTCGCCTATAACACGACATTTCGAACGCTATTCACAAAATGCTGTCTGCATTTGGCGCTTGAAGGGGCAGAAACCTTGCAGACGGTACTTTTCTCCGAGCGGGATATTGAGATATGGTCAATCAATGCATTGAGACTGAAGCCACTTCTAGGAATTAGGACCCTCTGGTGCGGACGGGACGTACCTAATCCCTGTCAGGCTTCGCTCCCCGGTCGAAGCAAATTACAATAGTGACATTTCTACCTCTGTATGCTGGGTTAACTACTACCACTATGTGTCCAACCTTAAATAGACCAGGCATGTTGGAAAATTCCCATCTGAGATCCTGGTTAGTCTGTGTTGTGTTACGTCAGGTGGGGTAGGTTAGGTTAGGCTAAGGTGAATAACAGTCCCGTCCTCCCTCTTACTGTTCTATTAAGTACATATACATATAAAATAGGGGAAGAGG